ACCTAGTAGCGGTCAACAGTACATAATTTTGACCGCTAATCAACCAATCAGAATCGAGTATTTCAGTTGAGGTACTAACAATACATTTTGTTGACCGCTAATCAACCAATCAGAATTGAGTATTTCAATTGAGGTACCAACAACACAAAATGACTGATATCTGTTGTCTTTCCAAAATTATATTAGTTATTTGTAAACAATTTCCATACGGTAAATCAAAGGCATTTAATTTAGAAAATGTATAATCTTTATTTTTCAGATACAATATCAATGAGATTGCCTCCCGGGGATTCAGTGCTTTATTTAGTTTGCCTTATATATCCTTCTAACTTTGATATAGACAAAGAAACCAAACAAAATACGTTTCGTCATGGACCACTGACTCACGCGTTTTATTCATGTACCGACCAACACCTGTAAACAGAACATAAAACAGTTTCTCTTGTTGTTCAATGATACATTATATTGGCGTTTTTGCATCATCACATTGGTGTTGTTGCATCATCGATAAGAAACAGAGTGGTGTTGTTGCATCAATAGTGAGGAATTAAAACCACGAATTTGTCGCTTCTTGATGATGCTACATGTAAACCAATGACAGTTTTTTAAAATATAGATTATGCGCTAACTGCATGTGTATGATTATTGAGCAACTCGTCCTAGAAATGGGTGTAAATTGGGGAAAAAAACATCGTACGAAAATCTATCACCGGAAGTCTGGCCATCTTGATGCAACAACACGGTGTTGTTGCATCACGATACCCCCCAGTGCTACTGCTTGGTTTAGCTTTGGATCACCTTGATATCATCAGTGAAATACAACGATTAACTTATTTATATTGATACAGTATATAACATACTGAGATTTCTCTTAAAATCCCATGAGTACACAACACATTTCAATTTGCCTAGGATGCTTTAATATATTTTTGTTCTAACTGAACAGCGTTTTGTGAAACATTGAAAAGTTTTAGTTTAATACTATAGAATTTAAAGTACAGCTCATTCGATGATTTCATTTGATTCGTTATTATTGAAAATAGGCTCATGAACATCTTTTTCCTTATTCAACTCGATTCCATTATCGGAACGCCCTTCTGGGTTTCTTTCACTACGATGCGATCGAAACCATCTGCAAACCAGAGGGGTAACTCCACTGAAAGTTCTTCCATAGGCCTACATATTAACATTTGGCTTGATTCTGAATAAACTAGGATTTTCGGTATATAGTCACATATACCATAGTGTAGCTCTATATGTCCCCTTTCAAACAAGAAAAGAAAAACAGTAGAACACCCATGGAATTAAAAAGTTCTTACCAGTTTTCCCCGCCATCTATTGAAAATTTGCAAATTTCTCACTAGATTTCCAACTCTAGACCACCACAACAAGAACTAAAATATTTTTGTTCTGCCATAAAATGTCGACATAATTTTTATTAAAATATGAACATATAACATAAATAAAGTTTCATGCCAGATCTCGACTTTTTCACTCATAATGGCACTGATTTACATTGATTTTCGGCAACCATCATCCCAATTTTAAATATAGATTTTTTGTCTTCTACCTTTTTCACAGCGCCATCTGTGGAGTTATCCCTACTAGTGCCCACTTATAGCTACCACACCTTAAATTTACCTCATTCTCTATCACTGGCTCTTTTTTCAGTAGAACACAGCAAACCGTTCCCCTTTTCCACAAATATATGCTGAGATATGGGGTTTTGAAGTTACTAACCTAAAATGACAACACTTCCCAAGAATACAATGTCAGGCTTAGATATATACTGGTTGGCTTGGTTTCTGGTGGACCATGGATTGGCTATAACTTGCTATGTCAGCTGCTCCCAAGGTATGATGACTCCTATATATGCGTGTGATCTGAAAATAATAATTAAAATTCAATTAATTAACATAATTAATTTATGCGCATAATTAATTAGGCGCAGTGTATTTTCTAAGTAAAATTTGCTTTGTCAGCATATTTTGGGATAATTAATCCATTATCTTATTCAAACAAAGTTTATACACAACTGATATTATCTTAACAATTAAATGATACCATTAGATAACATGGAAATATTCTAAATCTGATAGCAGAGACATCTTTTAAACCTATAAAAACCTGATTTCAACATAGTATCTTACTGTTCTAGCATATGTTTTATGTAAGCATTAATTATAACCTATCATGCGACAAAACCAATTTATCCGCGTCGCCACTCTGATAAAAATTCAACATTCTTTCCATTTTTGTTGGACATTAAACAAAAAATATATAAAACACTGGTCATTCTGAAGCTAGCTTCTAACAAAGACACACTGCTCTAAGATTCTGTTCAATCTACAACTTTGTCTAAGTTTTGGATATTTAATTCTTTAAACAGGTCAAAGAATGAAGGGAAAAGGAAAGTCAGGCCATTCTAAATATGCAAATGCTAAATCATTTAAGCGGCATCATAAACGTCATGAAATACCTCAGGAAGAGTTTGAGATTGAGCCACCTTTAAAAATCATGAGATTGAGTGAGACCAATCATAAGCTGGTTGTGAAGGAAAAGCAAGGAAAATATGAACTTGCTGATATTCATGGTAAACAATGTAGGGCTATGCTGTTACGGCCAAAGAAAGATGATCATTTACCACTTCATGAGCAGTATGGAACATCAAACCCAACCTCACCCCCAGATGAGGCCCTGATTGTGAGTCAGTTTTCCATGATCCACATGATGAATGAGGTTAATAGGGAGCATAGGGTTTATAATGAGGGTTGCATGGGCAACCTTTCCATTTATGAGAAAAAACCATTTGGACTATGCTGGAGGATGAAATTGAAATGTGAGGTATGTCTATTTATTTCTGAAAATTACAAACTATATGAAGAAATTGAAGCAGAAGGAAGAAAAAGGGGTCCAAAACCAGCAAAAATAAATACACAGATTAATGTGGCACTTCTGAACAGTTCAATAGGTATTGAGCAATTCCGTACAATATTGGCTACGTGTAATATCAGACCTCCAGCTGTATCAGGCATGCACAAAACAGCAGTAAAAGTGAGCTCACAAATTGAAAAAGTATTAGAAAATGATTTGAAGAATAGATGTGACAATCTTGTCAGATTAAATAAATTCAAGGGAGTTAAAGCATCTGAACAAAGCAAAATTTCAATTTCAACAGATGCAGCCTATGACAGCAATGTATATGGTGATAGATCCAAGATGGGGCAAAATTCAACCAGAGCTTTTACAATAGCTGTTGAGAATCACACCCAAGCCCAGCAAGTCATAGGGTATTGCCTGCAGGTGAAACACTGTTGGAGAGGGGCTTATTTGAGAGCTTTAGGCCTTGATGTGCAATGCCCGGGCCATGAAAATTGCACTGCCAACAAGAACAAAGCCCATTCTTTTACAGAATTTGAAATGGGTGGAGAAATTGCCAAACAACTCAAGGAGTGTAATTTAACAGTAGAATATTTAACCACTGATGGGGATGCCAAGGGGTCTCAAGGTGTACAGGCGTATTACAAAGATAATAATATTGACCAAAATGTATCAAGATTAGGGGACCGTATTCACAAAGAACACCTACAATATAAGAAATGCCTGAAAGAAGAATTTAGTAGGAAAATGTTTCCTGGAGCAACAAAGAAAGAAAGAAAAACAATACAGCAAGTATTTTCCAGAGATGTTAAAACGAGATGTAGCATACTTGTCCAAAAATATGCTCAACTTAACAATGACATTACATTAGCAATATCTACAATTGAAATGTTAGAAATTCAAAAATCCATTGTTAACTGTTACAATGGGTATCATGAATCATGTAAGGTTTCTTTCAATGGGTGTAAAGGCCTTCCAGATAACAACTGGGTGTCTAACTCTGCAAATTTCAGAGCATGTAAATTAAAAAATGGGGATATCAAAATGACCACTGATGATTCTAAGCGCTTGATGATTTTATTAGGCTTGAGATTAGGACCAGAGGCCCTCTATGAGACTAGATTCAACACTCATACCAATACAAATGAATCAGCAAATAGTGTTGTCAATAAGGTATTACCAAAGAGGAACACTTATGGTGCCACAGCAGGTGGTAGAATATCATCAGCAATACACCAAATCAATAATGGACTAGGGGACAGTACTCACCTTAAGCTCCAATTTGTCCAGGCTCCGCTACCGGTTGGCTCTTCTGCTAGTGTGGCCCTAAAAAAGATGCAACAGAAGTCAGTTTACATAAAGAAATATAAAACATCAAGGAAAGCAAGGAGAAATAGACAGTTCCACAAACAATATCACATGAGAGAATATTTCAGAGCGAAAGAAGAAAAGAAAGCAATAGACTATCAGAAGAATCAACTCGATAAAACGACTCGATTAGAACACAATTACACAAAGAACAAGAAATCAAGACCCAAGAGGCTGTCAAGGTATAGGGACCATGCATATGAGAAGAACTAGATGTACAGTATATAAGGTAGGCTTCTTATACTAAACTAACCTTACTCAACCTTCAGATCTAGTTTGCACATGGGATGGGGTTCATGTCCCTGACATTGGTTCATGTGAACGCAACTCTTGCGAGAATTGTTCACCCAATGGGGCTCCAGTGATAGGTGGCCTATGACAACACAATTCTTATTGAGGCATATATGGGATATATCATCTGTACACCTGATCAATGCAGGGTTGTACATCATAAATGCCAGTCTATGAACCAATGACACAGACTTTTTATCTTCATTTGGCCACCTAACACTCACCTGCTTGTATCCATCAGGCCTCAATGAGCCCCCATCCCATAACCAACACACACCATTGGCACTAGGCCTTATATTTCTTCTAAGGCGTTCTTGTTGGTGGTTACACCAGTCATCTACTACTCCAGAAAAGAATGAGGTGTAAAGTGATTAGCTATATCAGGCATAAAATGTAAAAGAACAAGATATATTTTGAAAAAAAGTTTTTTTTAATTTTTCGAAATGGGCGATAATAGGGGTAACTCCACTGAAAGTTCTTCCATAGGCCTACATATTAACATTTGGCTTGATTCTGAATAAACTAGGATTTTCGGTATATAGTCACATATACCATAGTGTAGCTCTATATGTCCCCTTTCAAACAAGAAAAGAAAAACAGTAGAACACCCATGGAATTAAAAAGTTCTTACCAGTTTTCCCCGCCATCTATTGAAAATTTGCAAATTTCTCACTAGATTTCCAACTCTAGACCACCACAACAAGAACTAAAATATTTTTGTTCTGCCATAAAATGTCGACATAATTTTTATTAAAATATGAACATATAACATAAATAAAGTTTCATGCCAGATCTCGACTTTTTCACTCATAATGGCACTGATTTACATTGATTTTCGGCAACCATCATCCCAATTTTAAATATAGATTTTTTGTCTTCTACCTTTTTCACAGCGCCATCTGTGGAGTTATCCCAGAGCTACTATACACACAATATGAATTGCTACACTAAAACAAAGAAATACTATTAGAAGCAGTTCCGCAGGGGGATTGAACTCCAAAAGACAAGTATCTTCCGTATTATCATGAGAAGTTTCGTTCGTAATATTATGACAAATCTCAGATGAGTCTACGGTTAGAGCTGCCAATGTGGCATCACTGTATAACCCATAGACACTAAAGCCAGTCGGATCATAAGAGAAGTTGAAGTTGTAGTCACCATTCGAATTATCTTTAGAACATATTCTAATTTCGCATACAACTGTAGAATTATCTCTGCAGTAGTTGATTACATTGTAGCCCTCTTTACATGCGGATATCATACACTGCCTTAAATCTCTAACATCAATTTTCTTAAATACATTGCATGTTGACTTTTTGCATTGGTGTCCCACGGTTATTCGTGTAAATATGTCAGTTTTGCAATTTGGCGTTCCAGGATAGGGTAGACTCCACCATTGTATGTCTTGCTGCTCCTCGTTTTCACAAATATCATTCTGATTATAATACGACCAATCTGTACCTTCACTATTGCTTTTACACTTAAATGCAAGGTTTGCTTTATGTTTCGTTACATACAATATAGAAGTGTAGCCTGATTCGTACAAAGATGTTGGAATTGGTTGGTCTGTACTTGAAAAGTAACTATCTATTTCGTCACATTTCTCGGGAGTAGGTCTCGACGGTAATGATAATGCAGATGAAAGAGTTTTGTTAAGAATAAGCTTCGTTTTGAATGTATGTCCAAGGCTGTAAGAACGACAGTTAGCATTATTGTCTTCGACAACAGATAAGCTGAGCTGATAATCGTCATTAGGAGCATGCCAGTTACAATATTTCATTTCACAATCAAACTCGTTGCTTTCATGAGAAATGATATTAAAGACATTTGCATTGTTTTCACAAGATTTTACCATACAATCATATAAGTTTTGCACTTTTAAATTACCAACGATAGAGCAGGAGGATTTTACAGCTTTCTTAGTCTCCCACGTTCTTCTCATGAAATACGAGTTATGACACCTTGGAGAATAGGAGTGCGGTCGGGCATATGTTATACCCATCGAATCATTCACATTCGGAGCTCGTGACTTCCAATTGTAATTCCAGTCCGTTCCATCAGAGTTGGGTAAACATTCAAAAAGTTCACATCTATTTTTGTATTGATTATACATTATGACGTTTGTTTCCTTTGCCAAACAAGATTGCTTGAGACACTGATGTAATGTCACCGATGCATGTGCAGAGCGAAACGCAAGCTTCAAGTCACAACCTGGTGCCATCGGCATAGCTTCGTCAAATGTGTTAAGAGTCCTTACTTTTAGAAAGTTCTCGACGTAACAGTTATCTGAAAAAACATTTTTCCTAATGTAAACGGGTAGTGCTCAAGGCCGGGTAGTGATTCGTATCAATTTCTAGCCTTAAATGACTTTGAATGACTTCATAAGCAAAATCATATACTCCAGATAGTAACGCCACAGACACATTTCCTACGGCGACCTTGCGGTCTATCATTTCTGCGGCCAGTAACATTTCTACGCTCGCCGTGGAATTTCTGCGCTCTCACACTTTTGTAGTCACATTTGTAGGCACGGTGAATTTAAATTTATATCGATAAATAATAGTTTTTTCATTTTATTTACATCAGGACAATTTATAAATGTTATTCAAAGTGCTAGGATGTAATATCAAATGAAAAGTGATCGTGAAACATTGAAAAATAATGATTCAATCTTGTTGAGCCAGTTGATTTCTACGGGGACCTCAGAAATGAACAAATATTATAACTCCGAGTTATAATTTCTACAGCGACCCTGCGGCCTCTAAAAAACTGGATACGCCGCACGGAGGCCGCAAGGCGAGCGTAGTTTTCCTACGCTCGCCGCAGAAATACACCGATTTAATCGATCTGCGGTCGACGCACGGCCTCCGTACGACAAATGTGACTGGGGTGTAACTCCTCGGGTCTACGAAATTTCAAAAAGCTGTGCAAGAGTGTACGAGAAGCTTATGAAATGATACTCTGTCATATTTTGTAAAACAAAACATTTTGATAATGATAGTATCTAACGGACGATCTTCAATAATTTATTGTTTCATATGGTTTCTTTATTGAAACTTCAAATTAGACACATCAAATACCGATGTGGTGAATATATATTGTAAAAAGTCTAACACTGCCCCATATTTTCACCTTATACCAAGGGTTTGTCCGGGAATGCCCCGTGGCCGAGAATGCCCCAAACTCCTCTTTAAGTAGTACTAGGTTTTCAATTGCTTGGGGAGCGTCCAAAATTCAAATATTTTCATTTTAATACTCGTTGATACCTTTTTGTAATAAGACATGAAAGTTTTCTTAAGACCTCCACGCGCGAAGGGCAGGGGAATTTGACAAAATCAAAATCGAGTTGACAAATTCCCTAACCTTCGGGCAACTAGTATTTCAATTTGCACAACCAGGGAGCAATAAAAGCGAGTCAAGTACATATTCTGAAAATGTGCATTCCAAAAGGCCCTCCCATGTGCCTGTGCATTACTAATAAATTACTAACAAAACAGATATCGCTTATCAAATATGTTTGGAAACAAAATACAATTCAAGAATTCAAAAATATAACTATATATTCAATCTTAACTCAATTGAACCGTTCCTTACCTGCAACTATTTCGTCCATCATTATCCCCAATAGAGTCACGCCGAGAACCATACACACGAGAATATCCTTGAGGTTCATTTTTAATGATATGAATTTTAATGTGATGTTTATGCGAAGAATTGTCTTTTTGTCCCTAACAGTTATCACGATCACACTGCGCGTGCGCTAGATGCAGATACGATTTAGTGTCAATGACATGTCAATTTGTGAGATACACGTACCGCTTCAGATCAGTTAGAGGCGTAACGACAACAGTATTAAACAAATACTGGATGACCATGAGGCGGATATGCCAGAATACCTATCCTGGAAAAAAATACTAGCCTCGGCTTCCCTCGGAGCCTAGTATTTCTTTTTGAGGATAGGTATTCTGGCATATCCACCTCATGGTCATCCAGTGTTTATTTTATTATGCACCTCCCTTGAGAAATACCTTGTTTTAAAGAATGGGTCTACTAAAACAAGCCGATTCTAGTATTTTTTTCGAAGATAGGTATTCTGGCATACGGGATGGTTGGAGATCTCGTTGCTTCAATACTGGATAGAACGAGATCTTGCTGCCAGGTATGGCAATAGACCCTGCAGCTCTTAACCAATCAGATTTGAGTATTTTAATGAGGTGCCTTTTATCGAGTTAGTATCACTCTAGTTATCACCTCTCTGCTGCACTGGTCAAACTTTTTTTAACGTTTTTTGAGGGACTTTTTGTTTGAAAATCGTTAATTCATTTTAATCAAAATTTCAGAACTCACGCATATCTTTAAATACATGTAAGTGTTAATTTACGTCAATTAATTGCAAATATCGTCACGTGTCTTTTGTAGAAAAAATAATAAAATTGGTTGATTAATAAGCGAGAAATTAATTAATCCATGCATGAAAGTGGTTCAGAGAAAAATGCATTTTAAAAAATTAGTACAATAACATTAAAAACATGATATATTGTTCTTTTTAATCTAGTTGGGCAATCAACATTGGTTTATTTTGAAAAGATTGGCAATTTTTTTTTTAAGTTTTGGGAAAATAATGACGTCATGATGGTCACAATGGACATTAGCAAGGCCCCTCGTCATGGTATGCCATAATGGCTTCTTTTACAAATAAAAAAACACAAGGAGCACACGCGCCTCGAACTCGCATCCTCGTGGTTAAAAGCTTTTTAATTCAGGCATACGTCACTGTGTGTGTGGGGGGGGGGGTATCGTGCTGCAAAAACACGGTGTTTTTGCATCAAGACGGGCAGCCTTCCTGTGATAGATTTTCGAAAGATATTTTGTTTTCTCAATTTAAACTGCAGTTCATTCTATAGTGTTGCAACCTAAATTGGATTTAAGTTGATATGGTGTTTTAGAAGTAAAAAATAAAATGTCAGTAAACATGAAATACTGTACCTAAATATTCCTCATGTTTTTTTTCGCAGCTTCTTATGATGAAGCTCAGAGTTTGTAGGGACTCAAATACCTGTCTTTGACATATGAAATATTTTCTCACATATTTAGTTTCAAAAGGTTACACACAAAATGTCCAATTCTACAGGTTTAGTAATCATAAGAATAAGGTCTTCATTTTTACTGAAATGCTCTATTATATTCTGTATGTGATGTCAAAAGACATACGACCACGGAATGAGTAACAATGAGCGTTAATAAAGGTAAATAATTCCATATGTTTATAAAAAATACACGAATCTCCTATTTTACAACCATAGCTCCGTGTATTTACCTGAAAAATATACATGTACAACACAAGTTCATATAGTTCTGCCTTTTCAATTGAAAATATATATACGTACATATGGGAAAGTAGTTTATCAAATATGACAGAAAACAGAAGCCATTCAATTGTTTTGTCACTGCGAGAGCTCTGAATATATGTTTTATGGTTCATCGTGCAATCTTTTCAAAGTACTTTAGACGGTGGCGCTACGAATTTCTGGTAAACAACATTTCCAAAAAATGTCATTGTGAAAGCATTAAGACGTTTTATATGACTTTTTAATCTACCTTAAAATATTAATTGTTGATTCGAAAAGTGAGTCTCCAGATGTCTGTAAAAATCACGTAAAAACAATTCGAAATTGATAAAACGAACCCGAAGCATGATGAAGGTCGAGTGTGAGCAAACCACAATAAATCAAATACATTTCAAATGATATGAAACAGTTTTCTATAAGCCATTTACATAAAAAATTAATAAATTAAGACAAAACAAGTGACTTTAAACACGATATATCGATAATCACGTAATATTATAAATAAGTGTAAGATCCAAAGTTTATGAAATGTCAAGTATGAGTGTGAGTGTCTCACATATTCGATCAAAATTTGCCATGCTAGTCTACTTTACTGACCCCCCTTGCTGTAACAAGGAAACCAAAAACACATTAAAACGTAAACATAAACCAATTAGTCACTTCACTATGAAAGTGAGGGGTGTGCGCTGTGTGCATGGACTGACACAATATCAGTGGTCATTTACTGTGTCAACTTAGTAACCCTTGCATATCGTGCTCACTCAAGTATTGAATAATTTTTTTATGATCTAAATGTTTGTGGTTTATAAAAAAAGTGATATGTTTTAGTTAGAAATACATTAATTAATATATTCATTCAAACAGCACTAGAATGCGGGAAGAAAGAGCAATGGTGACAAAATGCAGACAGAATTTTCCGTAAGGGTTTCAAACATTTCTAAACACAATCATACATGTACTTCATGTGTACTTTTATTTTTAGTGCTGTATTTATAGATATAATTTCACGTATTAAAATCATATTTTCCAGCAATGACTTCAAATTCGGAACCACACCCATATTTCATTTTCTCCAATAACTCCAAACATGTGTAAACATTGACCATGTGCATATAAATTCAGAGTTCACGAGCTCTTTCCTATTCGATTACCTCATACACCCCTGCATGGATTTGAGTTGGATTCGCCTTTTATACGTGAGCCGACACACTTGCAAACGCTGATTGGATAAAGATTGCGAGAATCTTTAAAACGTATCTCGAATAAGGTTTTTCATTTCTCAACATCGATCGCGATGCCATCTTTAAAAATCAAAACTAGGTTTTTGCATTTATTATGGATTCTTTGCGATTCCAATACAATAAAAATATAATAATTTGTGAAAAATGTGTCCTTGCGATTTAGATGTTGAACTTGCAAAACATTTCAATTTTGATTTCAATTCTTACAAATGATTTTGTGTAAGAAATCAATGAGCCCGGAACCATGGACCACATCTATGAAGTTTTTACCAACTTCACTAAAATACGGATTTTAGATACGTTTGGGAAGAAATGTTCTGCAAAACCAGTTTACATCATTTTTTTCTCGTTTTGAATCAGAACGACGGTACGTACAAATGTAGAGCTAAAAACCCCATTGTTTATATCATACATCACTGGTCACTATCAAGCGAAGGTTTCGGCCGTCACCTTCGACACTTAAGATGGCGAACGGGAAGTGTTGTTTTCGATATTTCTAATTTTCATCGAATTAAACCACTAAAAGCTAATAGTTGACGTAATGCTTTGATATTTGACCTTAACCAGGCTTACATGGAAACTCTGGAGTTGATCAATTGTTAAGCAATGAAGACATCATCGATATGAGTTTCCATGTCATTAAGTCTGATTTAGCCCAAATATCAAATTATTACGTCAACTATAAAGTAGTTTAATTCG